TAAAAAATAATAGATTGAATTTAAATTTTTATAATATATTTGGTACTAATTAAAAATATATAAAAAATTATAAAACTTAATAAATACTATAAATTATACTTATAAATAAATATTAAAATTAAAAAATAATAGATTGAATTTAAATTTTTATAATATATTTGGTACTAATTAAAAATATATAAAAAATTATAAAACTAAATATTTTTATATACAAAAATCTATTAAATATTCTAATATTATTAAACTTGATTTTATTTGATATTAATTAAAAAAATTTTTTTAGAAAATATTATTTAATTAGATTATATATAATATAATATAATAAGTATTTTAATTATAAAATTATTAATAAATATCAAAAATATCAAGCACAAAAACCAGTTACCAAAAAATTTTAAGAAATTTTATTTTTTGAAAAAAATTCTATAAATTATAATAAAATATTTATTATATAAACTTTTAATACATAATTATATATATTTAAAAAACTATTAAAAAATATTTAAAGTTATAATTAATATATTAAATTAATAAATAATTATTATCAAAAAGTATTATAATATAATATAATATATTATTAGTAGTATAAGTAAATCTAATTTATTAATATAATCAAATCTCTCTATAATTATCTTATTTTGCTTTTCTATTTATATATAAATATAATAAAAAATTCTCTATAATCATATTTTTTTTATAATTATCAAATTTTGCTTTTTCAAAAATATTAATTATAGAGAACTTTAATTATATATATATTAATTTTAAACTAAATTTAAATCAAATTCAAATTTATATAAAGATATTTTATTTATAAAAATTTATTTTTAAGATAAATAAAAAATTTAAAATAATTTATAGTCAATACTTAATATAATAAAGATATTTGTATTATTAGTAATAAATTTATTATATTAAAAAATTTAATATATATTATTTTTAAGCTTATTTTATTATAATTAGTATTTTATTATATTAAAAATTATTATATTAACTATATTATTATTATTTTAGTTTTTAATTAAGATTTTATATAATAAAAAATTTTTAATTAAATATTTAATTTTTATAAAAAATCTTAATTTTAAGTTAAATTATTAATTAAAAAATTAATATACAATTAGATTTATAAAATTAAGATAATTTCATTAATAATATTTTATTATTATATTTTTTACTATTACTATTTCAATTAGTACTTTTTAATAAACTTTATAAATATATAATTGATATTTTTAAATATTATTTAATATATATTATTATTTTTATTTAAATTTTATTATTTTTTATTATTTTTTATTATTTTATAATATATATTAAAATAATATTCAATAAAAATAAAAATAAAAATATAAAAAATATAAACTAATAAAATATATTAATAATTAATAAAAATATATTAATTTAATATTCAGTTAAAAATATAAAATAAAAAATAAATATATAAAAATCAATAAATTAAAATATAATAAATATGTTATATAATAAATAAATTAAATATTTTTTTAAATATTACTTATTTTTTAATCTATTTTTTAATATTAAATAATTTTAAAACTTTATTAATATATTATATAAATACTATTATTTATTAGCTTAAAAATATTAATAAATTTTTATTATTATAAATTTTTTATTAATAATTAATTATAAAAATATTTTGATAAAAAAGCTTTTGAATTTTAGAATTCTTGATTTTTTAATATATCTTAAATTTTATTTATTATTATTATTATTTTTAATAATATATAAATATTTTTAAATATTTTACTAAATATAAATATTATTCTAATTTTTACTAGATATTATAAAAAAATATTTATATTTATTATTAATAAAAACTAGTTATAATTATTATTTTTACTTTAATTTTAAATAAAGATATATAAATTTTATAAATAATTAATTTATTAGTTTTTGAATTTCTTGAAAAATTCAAAAGCAAATATAATTTAGATATATTAGATTTTTAATTTATTTTTAATTTATTTTATAAGAATATAAAAAAATATAAAATAAAGAAAAACTTTTTATATATAATAATAATTAAAAATAATATAATAACAAAAAATATTATCAATAAAATATAATAAATATATGAAAAATATGAGTTTTTTCTTTATATAAAAGTTTTTATTTTTATATAAAATAAAAATAATATTATATATTTTAATATATATTTTTTTATTTAATTCAATAAAGTTATTCTAATTATATTTAAAGTCAATAATTTTTTTATAATAAAAACATAAAAAATTATTAATTTATATACAATTAAAATAACTTTATTGAATTAAATAAAAAAATATATATTAAAATATATAATTTTATTTTTAATATATAAATACAAAATATTTATTAATAAAATTAAAATTGTTATACTAAGAGAATAATCTATATTTTTTATATTTTTTATTATATTTTAATAATAATTCTTTTGCTCTTGCATTATTTTTAATTGTTATTATATATAAAAATAAAATATTCTTTAAAAGTTAAAATCTATTTATATAAAAAATCTATTTAAATAAAGAAATTATTGATAATTTTGATATTTTGAACAAAAAAAAAGAGATTTAGTGCAAAAAAATTACTATATTTTATTTTAAATAAAAATTACTAATAAAATTAATTTAAAACAAATAAATAGAAATATTTATAATATAAATAATTTAAATCATAATATTTTTTTGTGAAATTATATGCGCACAAATTTATAATATTAGTATTACTATAATATTATATCAAGTTTTCACACTATTATATTTAGTTTTCTTTCAATTATATTATTGTTAATCCAGAAATTTGATTGGCTTTCAAATAACGTTCTCTATTGATTAATAATTTTTATCTAATAAATTCCTTATAGTAATATTATTTTATTGATCTGTATAATTGCTTTTCTTTCTTAGATTACCATTATTGCTAATTGTTATTTTCAGTCAAAATAATTATATGCCATTTTATTTTCTTTTTATTAGAGTTGTTAATTAGTTCTAAAACAATTTTAAAAGTTACTAATTCTAGGAAAGTTAAATTGCTTATTTGTAATAAATAAACTTTCTTTAAATATTACTATAAATAAGTTCCAAATTTATTTCAAATTCTAATTTGTTAGATCTCTTACAATCAAAGAAGCTGGGTTCTGTATCACACACACTGACAGATAAAATTAAAATCTGACGAAACTTTTGGGTATTGGACTGCGAAGTATATAATATTGTTTTTGTTAGGGGTCGTGACCACTTTGACCCTGGGAAAAATAAAATTTCCCGCATGGCGGAAAAAATCAACGTTAACAATAAAAATGCTTTACATCAAATCATTATATCATTAAAAAGATATTGATTAATAATAAATCAGCGGCGACTTTTATAAATCTAATATTTAAACAACACAATTTTTTATTTCTTGCATTGTCATTAAACAAAAAATGTTTTTATTTTTCACAATAATCAATCTTGTATTTCTAACTCTGTTCCTAATTTTGCGATCACTAGATCAACTTCCATCACCGCCACCGTTCTTCACTTCTCCTTCGCCACCAAAGACAAATATAATAAAAGACTGCAGCACTACAGACGACATTCTCGCAATCGAATACATAACCTTGAATCCAGATCCTCCCATTCGAGGTCACGTGTTGAATATTAAAGCTGCCGGGAATCTTAACGAGACAATCGATCAAGGAAGTTATGTTGATGTCTTGGTGCGCCTCGGATTAGTACAATTGTATAAAGGAAAATTGGATTTCTGTAAAGAGATCGAGCAAAATTTTAAGCTAAAGTGTCCGTTGAAGAAAGGAATGCATAAAGTTGATAGTGATGTGAATGTACCAAAGGAGATTCCGATGGTATGTACCTGGTGAATAGGGAATGATTAAATTGATTATTATCAAGGACATTATTTATATTCTCTTCTTTTTAATTTGATTAGGGGAAATACACTGTTGATGCACAAGCATATACAAAAAATGGTCGTAGAATCGCTTGTTTGAAAGCAGAGACTGTATTTAAACCTTAAATATATCAATATCGTTACTTTTATGTACAAAGAAAATTTTCTACTTCGAATTTTTAATGAATCTTTAACGTTAATAAACATCTTTTTCAAGCTAATTATTTAACTAATTGATGATGCTGTTTAAGTTTTATCGTTATCGTTATATAGCATTTTAAATGCCATTTAAGGACCGATCAATCCTGATGTGGAAAATATTCAACCACTTTTTAGCACATGTTAATACGATCAATCCCGAAGCGTGAGATATTCAACACTCTTATGCGGAGGTTACAAGTGGTCAACAATTATCGGTAAATGAGGAGGTTGGAATTTGTTGTATAATATCATGCGAAAAAATCACTTAAATAATGATGTACGTATTACATGTATGAATTTTTAATTTTGCATTCATTTGTCGCTTTCATAATACATGTATTTTTTATAAACTACATAAACATGATCTCATTTTTGTGTGTAGATTTTTTTATTTGACAAAAATGATATACAATCTTTGGTTATAGTCATAAAAATTCTCACGAAAAGTTCTCAACGAAAAAGGAGGCATCATGTCGATATTTAAAGAGAAAAAAAAATGTATTTCATTTCAAAAATCTTTTTAAGGAAAAAAATCTTCTGTTGTCAAAGGCAGGAAACTCGAATTAAAAACTGTATAAATTTTACAAGAAAATGGTGCAGAATGCGAACATACAGGGTAAATTATCTTACTGGGTTGGGTTTGTCGAGTCGTTGTGTTATCTGAAATTACGCTGCCACATCTGAATGAAATTTGAGGATTGAAAGCACTTCGTGGCCACAATTTCAGCCGTGAACGTTCTTCTCGGTTTCATTTGGGTGTTCCCTAGATATCATGATGAATAGGATGCACTGAATCAATGAATGGAAAGCTCTTCATGGCCAAGGTTATTTATAACCATGAACGTTCTTCCTGGTTTCTAACGATAATGACGCAAATACTCACAACTTTCTCGTATCAATAAAGCCGACCTGGTGGTCGATTTTTTCCATCCAGCGTTTACTTTATTGCACATATTTCGGGATTTATTGCATTGTTCGGACACAGATATTCACATATGATCGAGAATTCCCACAAAAATATCTATTTTTCTCTTCATCGTTCTAATCCTAACAAAAAATGAATCGCTATTTTACATAGTATAATCTTGGTTGTGCCAGCTTCGCTGATAAATCACATATAAGTCAGCTTGCTATTGTGCAATGATGTATTTTTTTCATAAATAGACTATTTCGATACATGTCACAAATTTACTCGAGAATTTTCCGGAGGCGCTCAATTTTGTGACATTGGGAATTTTAGTTTGCATCGCGGCAGAGAAACAACATTCTTGGGAAGGAAGAAAGAAAATAAGAGTCAATGTGTCGCTTGCAAATTACTTTTCCTTGACCTGCATTCATAAGATCAGTGTATATCATTCCGACCTCGTGATTATTCGAATTGTAATATTTTTAATATCAATTAGAATTAGCGAACGTTCTATTGGTCTATTCGTAATTTCAAAAATCTCACTTTGAATAATCTACAAGCAGCAGCAACCTCGTCAACTGACTCCATGGGAGATTGAGACTTAATCCATTCGTTTGATTTCCTGTGATGGCTCATAAATCGCCTCCACAACTGCTTTTATACCTAATAGAACATCAGGGTAAGGCTCACACCCTCCATATACCGTTGATATCCAGTAGATCGCTAAAAATTAATGGAAAATTCATTATGATCAACTATATGAAATTGCTACAAAAGTTATAAAATCAATCAATTAATCGAATCAACAAGAGGAATGCAGTTAATGTTGCTTGTTCTCTTACTTGTTGTAATGTCACTGCACTCGGTTGATGACAGTTTGTACAAATACCTTCCGGTCAAGGAGCATGACCATTCAAGCAACGCTGCTTGACACGGTAATCTGGTTCCGCTACATACTCTTTTCGTAAATATTCATGAAAAAACATATGTTTGATCAGATTTTCTGCCAAATAATCAATACAGAATTAATGTTATCAAGTAACAACTAAAAAAAAAGACACCTATTTACCTCTAAGGACATGCAGTAATCGCACATGCCATGTATAGAATGCTTACAGCTAAACACGAAAAACCAAATTAAGATTTACATACTAAATATAAAAGCAGCAATGAATACACGTCGCCTCTACTAAAAATCGACGCGTACGCACATAATTCACGCGTACAATTTCGGATCACGACAGCTTCTTGCTTTACATTCAATGCTGATGATGAACTGGTATTCGTTGTTGGCTCAAATGGTCCCAGCGGAAACTACTGAATGCCTGGTTTCGCTCCGTCTTCA